GTAGTTTTTCTACGGAATGCCCAGACATCTTAGGGTTTGGGGGGCGGACTTCATATGCACAGGTGCGTAAACCCGAAACCCCAAACCCTTAAACCCTGAACGCTAAACTCTAAGCCCTTAAACCCCAAACCCAAAACCTTCGTAACATGGTAAATCCTACATGGTCCCTGTACCTCCCCATGTAATAATCCCTAGACTACCCTCTATAAGCTATAGTCTAAGCTCCTAGCGTGCCCTTAATAATCCCCATAACACCCCCCTATACAAACCACTTTGAGGAGTTTTGATTATAGCTCACATAGGGATGGGGACGTCCATTCTTAGGGCCACGAGTGGAGCCTGCTGGCACGACGGCCGGCGGCGTGCCAGTCCGTAGCATAGACTTTCATCACTTCGCTGTGCCCTGTGCTAGCTTTAAGGCTTGCGCATGTGTGTTTTCAGGTTTCTTTCGTCGTCAACCTAAAGCCTGAACCCGCAGCCGTAGACTTTCATGGGGCCCTGAGTTTGAGGGGCCACAGTGCTGCAGGGTCTGGTTACAGGATCTAATGAGACCTGGGCTTATAACCCTAGTTATCATCCTCATAGCTGATCTTATGTAAGCTACCCCAGTTCTAAGTAGGGTTCTAAGCCAGGTATAAGTAGTCACGAAGTCCCATGAACCCTCAGGTACATGCAAGACTGCACTCATCCGATACTTAAAGCGGTGCCTTGCTTCAAGGGGCACCAGGTTAAGTTGACGAAGATGTTGGGCACGAAATCTCAGGACAAATCATCATGACCTCACCCGACCTGATTCCAAACAATGGTTCATAGAAAAACCGCATCAAATGGGCCTCATTTCCGAGTCTGAGATCAGCATAAAATGGCCGGGACTAAGAGAGATGCCCCGAAATGTGGACCCCAATATATTCCAATCCATGTCAGAATAGGGATTCCACAAAGGCAAACTGGGACTTTCGTCCTTCTGCTTCTGGGTTGAGGGTCTAGGATTTTGGTGAGCTGCGCACTATATACCACATTATAGTCACTTCACGTAAGTTCCTTGGACAGCACCCTGGAGTAGAGAATGGAGAAGTGGGTTATAGGGCTGTACAAATTATACAGGGACTACTGTAGGGACCAATTCCCTCAAGGTTCCCTAAACCCGAAGTCCTAAAGCCTAAGCCCCAAATCCTAAAAGCTTCTGATCGAGTCTAGAGCTTCCAAAGGATCAGATATAGATACCGCCCCATTTATATGCTCATTAGTCTAAACTCCTCAAAGGGAGGTTTTACGGGGGATTATCTTGTAGAGTACTATACGGGTTATTACGGGGGACACCAGGAGTTTAGACTTAGCTTAAAGATCTGCAACAAGGGTAAGAAATTTCCTCCATCCACCGTAGTCCGTTCTTAATCTCTAAACCTTAAACCCCAAACCCTTAGCCAGAGCGGCCAGGGCACAATGAGTGGAAAAGCTCCGTCCTTCATAGGGCCTTCGAACAACAGGATTGATCGACCTGCGATAACAACTATGCGCTTCTAGTGGTTTAGGGTGTAGGGCCCTGAGCCCCGCATGTACCCTAATGGCCTTTAGACTCCCGGCGGGTAAGATTATCGGGTCATGTGAGCCAAGTCTAAACTCAATGAAGGGGGCTATATAAGGGATTATGTAGGGGACTACTATTGAGCCAAGTCTAAACTCCTTGAAGGGGGCTATATAAGAGATTATATAGGGGACTACTATAGGGTTATCAAGGGGGAGTTTAGACTACGCCTCATATGGCTTCTGTCTGGGAGACGTGCCGTCCAAAGAAGAATAACGAGACTTCTGGTTACTTACTCGTGCTCAGTTGGGAATGGAGACGACAATCAAAGCCGCCATCTTAGCCATTGTAGGCTTTCCGCTGTTGCAAAAAGCCACTGATAAGAAAATCAAAGCCACCATGTTATTTAGAGTTCTAATTCTTGTAAGCTTTACACCCCTAAACCCCCTAAACCTTACACTGTAGCCGTTAGTAGCCTTTTCTAAGCCCCTGCTAGGAACCAATTCTTCCATACTTCAAGGAGCATGGGTGATAGACGACCAGGCCTCTGAGACGCGGCCTTGTAGAGGTTTAGGGTTTAGGCTTTGGGCTTTAGGGTCTAGGGTTTAGGGTTCAGGGTTTAGGGTTCAGGGTTTAGGGTTGCAGATTGATTACATGCAGCCCTGCGACACCAGAAGGCCATGAGGCTGTGGCCCTACAAAATCACAGGAGAGGTTTAGAGGGTGTGGGGTTTAGGGCTTTAGGCTCTAGGGATGCGAGATAGGGTTTTGTCGTGATTTCCGACGGGTGTCTATTGGGTTCATTAGGACAACGGAGCAGTGTATGTATGGGGTGTCTAATTGGGGTGCGACCGGTGCGACCGCCAATCAAGATCCCGGCAGTAATGTTATTAATTGGGATAGTCTAGTCCCCAATACAGAGAAAGATGTTCTTCCCCATTTGTGTATGGTGTTTTATGAGAGATTGTAGACTCGCCTAGTAAAAACCCACGCCCTAAACCTGAAACCCTACTATTGACGATGTACGCGTACTATAGTAACTTAATTCCCCTAAAGCGCACTACTTCCATGAGCTTTTTCGAAAGGCCTCATGAACCGAACCACGCTTTTACCTGCCCATGTCATGTTTCCGGAAGGTGGTGGGATGATTGTTCCTGGGTTAGGAATTAGGGTTCAGGGTTTAGGGTTTAAGGTCTAGGACGGAAGATCTCAACCCTAAACCTTAAACCCTGAACCCTAAACCCTAAACCTAAACCTAAAACCCTAAACCCAGACCTTAAACCAAAAACCTAAACCCTGAACCCTAAACCTCAACCTTAAACCCTAAACCCTAGACCCTACACCTTGTACCCCAAACCCCAATCTCGGGCCGAGGCCGGATTTTGGGCCTAGAGCTTAGGCTGTAAGAATTAGGGTTTACAGATTAGCATTTACGGTCTACAGTCCCCCTTAAGTAGATAGAATATGGGGTATATGGGGATCTTATTATAAGATACCCAAAGCCATATTGCATCCACTGAAGGGGACTATGCCTCTAAACCCTAAATCCCAAACCACATATTCTATCTGCTTCAGGGGGAACTATGAGGTTCCATGTGTGAGCAGTGGCTGCCCGCCTTGTCTTCAAACAGTGTCCGATGGATCAGCCAGGCGTATACGGAGATCCGAATTTGAAGGCATTATAATCTACCGCAACATGCTAGATTATACTATAATAATCTATAAGCTACCATAACATATTATAATATACTATAATATACTCTAATATACTATAACCTACCATACGATACTATAATACTGGGTTTGGGTTATCTTTCGAAGGTTTCGGATGTTTGCAGGTTGAGGATTTAGATTTCAGAAGCTTGTTCTTCATGCTGTTTTGGACTTCTTAGGGTTTAGGATTTAGGGTTTAGGGTTGTGGGTGGCACTTTATGCCATGGACCTCAAAGCCCTAACCCTAACCCCAAGACCTAAGCTCAGTCGCACACAAGCTATAGTCTAAACTCCTTAATGGGGTTTCATAGGGGATTATATAAGGGACTACTATAGGGTTATTAAGTCGGATACTAGGAGTTTAGACTATGGCTCATATGATGGAAGTTCAAAGGGTTTTACACGGTCCTGCGTGCGCACAGCAATCGTTGACTCGCGCGCGGACACATGCAAGACATGCGAGCGCTCGCTTCAAAAAGGCTTGTGTGTTTGCCAGGCTAGGTAGCGAGTCCAAGTTATAGCTAGGTAACAAATGTCCCGCAGTCGTTGAGAAGCACTTCTTAGATGACACTACACCCTAAACCCTAAACCAAACCCTTAACGTGTTTGGTTGTGTACTTATAGTCCCCCTTAAGTAGATAGAATATGGCTTTGGGTATATTATAATAGGATCCCCATAGACCCCATATTCTATCTACTTGAGGGGGACTATACCTCTTTGCCAGGACCTTGGTTATTCAGAGCCCAGGCTTCAAGCGTTCCAGCTGCTACCTTCAGTTCATGCATCACATGAGCTATAGTCTAA